CCCTACCAAGGCACTGCAGCCCTGGCCCTTTCCTAAAATTGTATTTTGAGGCCAGGCCTGGTGTATAATCTCAGCACTCCGGGATACAAGCTGAAGCTGGAAGGTCAGGAGTTCTCAAGCCCAGGCTGGTCATCTTTGTGAGAACTTGTCTCAAAATAAAAAAGAAAAGAAAGGACTTGGGATGTAATTACGGAGTCACTGTATTCAATCCCCAGTACCAACAGAAAAAAACAATAAAACACACACACACGTGATAAATTTGTAAGTATGTCCTTCAGATTAGCCCAAAATTGGCAGCACTCCTCCTGCCTCAGCCTCCCCAGTGCTGAGATTATAGACATGCTCCACCACACGCAGCTTATTTCTTTTGATCTGGTTCTATTCTTCCTAAGTAGGGCCAGGGAGATGGCTCAGTGGAATAAGTGCTTCTCTGCCAAGCACAAGGACCTGAGTTCAATCCCTGGTTCCGCAAAAAAAAAAGAAAAAGAAACACCTTGTCTCAAAACAAAAAACAAGTATCCAATTCACTGGATTTCAGTGGAGTCTCAAAATTGTACAACTATTGCTATTCTTCCTAAGCAGGCAAACTGTATGAATTATCTGCTCTTTCCTCTAAGTACAGCAATGTTCCTGCTGCCAATGCATCATCATCATCCTTCTTATTGGGTACTAGGGATCGGACTCAGCACCTTGCGCTTGCTAGGCAGGCACTAAAGCCACTGAGTTATCTTATTCTTATTCCCACAGATTCTTTGATCACTGTTTTTTTATTTTTTTTTTGCGGAACCAGACATTGAACTCAGGCCCTTGCGCTTGCCAGGGAAGCGCTTATTCCACAGAGCCACTTCCCCAGCCCCTTAATCATTGTTTTTATACTTATCAATTTATCTTGTCAACACAGACCTTAACGAAGCTCCAGAAAAATATCAGCTTTTCTATAAGCTGATGTAGATAATAAAATGGTTTAATAACCACAGGGAGTGGCTTCAGTCGAGCGCGGCCCTAAAGCCTCGACACAGACAAGATGCAGTGATTTATCTAGAAAACACCGTGTTCTGCAGCAGGACGTCTCAGGCTCGCCCTTCTGATCCAGCGCACCCCGCCCCACAGGCACTGGACCAACTTTACTCTGGAAAGTACAGTGTTTAAGATGATGACAGACTTTCTCTTACTTGGCTTGGAATTGGCCTTTTTTGGAACAAGTTCTTGAGAAGACTCATCTAATTCAACAAAAGCTTTACTCTGCAAGGTTGGAATGTTGACATCCTTCAAGCCAAAGTGTCTGTTGCGTTCGTATTCCTTATGTCTGTTTTCTTTTTGAGACAGGGATTTCCTATGAGCAATTTTAGTTCTGATCATCTCAGTGCTCAAATCCTTTCTGTGACGGCTGGCGAAATACGAAGACATCCTG